GGGGGAGGGGGGATAAATAAATTGCCACCATCATCGTCACCACCGCCATCATCATCACCGACCACCTCCATCGTTGTCACACAGCACGGTGGCCTTGGCGCCTGCAAGGTGGCATTTGCTCAGCCAGGGCGGCGTTCGCACGCGCGCGGCGGCGTTCGCACACTCATCATCATCACCGACCACCTCCATCGTTGTCACACAGCACGGTGGCCTTGGCGCCTGCAAGGTGGCATTTGCTCAGCCAGGGCGGCGTTCGCACGCGCGCGGCGGCGTTCGCACACTCGGAGCGCCATTTGCACACCCAGTGCTCCTCTGCGGTGCCACAGCACGGTGCCCTTTGCACGTGCAAGGTGTCCTTTGCACGTGCAAGGTGACATTTGCACGTGCAAGGTGACATTTGCTCAGCCAGGGCGGCGTTCACGCGTGCACAGTGACATTTGCACACTCAGAGCACCATCTGCACACCCAGTCCTCCTCTGCAGTGCCACAGCACGGTGCCCTTTGCACGTGCAAGGTGTCCTTTGCACGTGTAAGGTGGCATTTGCTCAGCCAGGGCTGCGCTCACACGTGTGCGGTGACATTAACACGTGTGCGGTGGCATTTGCACACTCGGAGCACCATTTGCACACCCAATGCTCCTCTGCTGTGCCACAGCACGGTGCCCTTCGCGTGTGCAAGGTGAGATTTGCGTGTGCGAGGTGACATTTGCTCAGCCAGGGTGGCGTTCGCACACGCACGGTGACATTCACATGTGCATGGCGGCATTTGCACACTCAGAGCACCATTTGCACACCCAGGGCCGGTGCTATGACAGGACTCAACACACCCCCCTCAGCACTTTGCAAGCAAAAGCCCCCTCCCCTAATTAACCCAGCCCCTAATTGCCCAATGCTAACGAAGGGGGTGTACCGCCCCTTAACTCCCCCTCCGCTCCCCTCTCTCAGCCCTAAACCCGCCCCAAATCCCCCCCCCGGGGTAGCGAGTTGCCCCACACCAAAGGCTTTTCAAGCAAAATAAATCACCCAGGAGGCAAAAAAACAACTTTTGGGGCCAAATTAACCCAAGTGAGTTAATTTTTTTTTCCTTTTCTTCCCATCTTTGTGTGGTTTCTGGGTGCCCACACATGTGACGAGTTGGGCGCCAGGGTCAGTCCTCAGCCAAGCGAGCGGGCGGCCTTTTGGGCCCCCATCCCATCGCGTTTTGCTCAAAGAAAGGGGGTGGTTTTTTATCCGCCGATGCTCCGGCTCCCATCCCAAATCCCGCGGTGGGTTTCGGGACGGGGCGGGTAACGATGCTAATTACAGGGGAAGGAACCGTGTATTTACAGAGGCAGCTCCCAGCACGAACCCGCCGGCGGCTGCTTTTGCTCCGCTGAGTCTT